TTATCTGGATAAGATGGATAAGCTACAGCTGCCACAAACAGACCCTAAATTTATTCCATGTAAAAGTATTTCGTTTTCATTCAACAGGTCGCCACTACAAATTGGGACTTAATGAAATGAAAACTAAAGTTTTTTTTTTTTTTTCAGATGTAGGTCCCTCTCGTGTAGCATCTATCAGTTGAAATGATCCACTACAAGTTAGTGAAACACGTATAAACCCCTGTCCCACCAGTGAAAAAGAGTAGCATAATTTTTCGAGTTACAACGATCCTATACATAAGAGCTCGTTACCCATGATATGGAGCGGTTACAACATAGAGTAGTTTTTGTAACTTTGGTATATCGTCTTCCATGTTTGCACGACGTTTGGAATGATGCACTGCTCTGTAAAATACTTTGTAACTATGCGACGTTGGTTGTTACTCCAAATAGTGTTTCGTCACTCCATAATGCAAGTGTGGACTCTGTGCGGAGCTTCAATACAACAAGTACAACACGACCGACAGCTGTCTACAATGGCCGACAAGTTATGGTTGGTGGCTACAGGAGAAGCGGGGGGTATTACTGAAATCTTCGGTGCATAAGTTATGTTATACTTTAGATCATTCTTCAATCTTCGATCTTCTTCTGACTTGAAGCATATGCCCTCTAAAAATAAACAGAAACCCTAGAATTTTGAGGAGGTGATGCCGACACAATTTGAAGATATGCTAACCATTTTCTTCAAGGGCATAGAGAACCGAGCTTGCAAAGATCAATCACATCCTTTGTGAACACGAGAAGATGAATATCTCATGTGTGATTGATATGTTGTTGTTGGTGAATCAGTTAGGAAAATATCATGATGACTTATGCCCCATGGTTTTTTTCTCTCAAAGCAACACGGAGAACTCATAGATGCTCGAGAAGAATTGATAGAGACACGAGTTATAACCTTGATCAGAGCGCAGAGACATTGGAAGTTTTTCAGGCAAGGTTGTTAACCCTTAAAAAGGAGAATAGAAAGTTGCGGTCCTTGAGGATCCAAGAACCAAATGATTCCCTTTTGGCTGAAAATGCAGAGAAGTCAAAGGTGGCTTGTAGGAGTGTACTTTTGAGGATGAGGAGCGTGTTGAAGTAGATTGGCATCATTATTTATGCATTTTCTCACATTTATTTTAATGCATTGTTGTATGAGTTAAACCAATGTAGTCATTGATTGATAATGTGTTTCTATGTACGTCTTTCTTTTGGTTGATACAGTAAAAATTTTGATGTTGTTTACTAGATTGTTTTATCCTTTCCTTTTGAGTTGTGGTTGCCCCATCTCTAGAGCAGTTACAAGATATTGTTGCCCAACCGCTAAGTCGTTGTCTGCGCTTTCACTAAGAATATTTGACTTCTTTAGGTCATTTGGTCAGAGGGTGTTTGCTCGATGACTATAGCATACAATGAATGAAGTCAATTGTAATTCATGAATGATGTAAGACCTCTCATAGGTTGTATGGCAGGAGATGTTCGACGACGTGAACTTATATTAGAACATAATCAAAAAGAGAATCAGTTATGGATGTAAAACTCATCCTAAGTTGTATAACTGGAGATGCTCGATAATGTTACCTTGTAACAGACAGAGATATTTGAAATCCACCAATGATGGTTGACCTATTAGATGTTGTTTGTCTAATCTTATGCTTGAAGACCGTAAAATGTTATTGAAGAGATTGAAGGGAATCCACCAAGAATTTTTTACCTACTCGTGGTTGTTAGTGGAAGCTTCTGCTTAATAATCGTAGCCTGTGATAGACGAGGTTGAATCAAGTCTCTATTGGATCGATTAAGCCAATAATGAGGTTGACTTATCAGATGTTGTTAGTATAAACTTATGGTTGAAGACCGTAAAATGTTATGGAAGAGATTGAAGGGAATCCACCAAGAATTTTTTTACCTACACGCAGCTGTTAGTGGAAGCTTCTGCTTAACAATCGTAGCCTGTGATGGACGAGGTTTAATCAAGTCTCCATTGGATCGATTAAGCCAATGATGAGGTGTCAGAGAAGTTCTGTGTTTCTCAAGACTAGGTTGTAAGTCGCAATAGACCATACTTTTTTTAGAAGTATTATTGTAGCCACGCTTAAAAATAATATTTAACAACTTTCTTGTTGCTACTTTTGAATTCATTGTCCCCTAGATGGTTCCATACAAGCTTATAAAGCATCCCATGTATTGAACTTTGGAAAGATGAGCTTCCTACTCTAGCTCAGGAAGAACTCTAGTATGGTGGGGGTGTTAATTAAACATTGCTTTTGAAGTTACCCCTAATATCGAAGCAGTTCGCAAAGATTTTATATATGAATGAAACGTGGGATGACTACCACACCACCACCTGCTTGAGATGTTAATGTGAACCACCTTTCAAGATTGCAGTTAAGGTTGCCCCCCAGCCTGGAAGAATTTGTCATAGACTTTGTGTTTAAATATGATGCGAGAAGTCTACCCTACCAAAATTGTACCCAATACATTAACATAAATGACCTTTCAAGACTATAGGGAGGGTAGCTCCCCGCATCGAAGAATGCTTCGGAAATGATCAGCAAGAGGTGTAAATGAGGTTTCTTTGCCAGTTCAATGATGTATATCATTGGGAAACAAAGTATGGCTCAGTGTCTCAGCCTTGACAGCAGTGCTAACAGGATTTTGTTTCCCACATATGATGTCAAACTAATGCATGTCGGAATGTCTGCGGTAGTAGAGTAATGAATATTCATCTTTGCGTTGAATGAAGATTCGACACACACTTAGGTAATTAAAAACAAGAAAGTAGGAGAATACACCTCAATTTTTACGTGGAAAACACAAGAAAGGGGAAAACCATAAGGCCTAACCCAATTGAAATGATTCTTTATGAATGGTGACTACACAGATACACTCTTCTCCTGAATTAAGGAAGATGAAGTTACAAAATTGTTCATTTTAAATGTACAACAATATTTCAAATATAATAGTCATAATTTGGGTGTAATGAACGTAGTACTCGTTGATAGCAAACTGCAAGGGTCCGAGTTAATTGCTATGGATACAATAGTTTGCCATGAATGTAGTAGACGGTCGTTGTAACGCAGCTTGTCAAATAGATTGTAGTTGAAATTAATGATGATAGTTGGTTGTGTGGGTTATAGATGGTTGTTTCATAAGTGTCGGTTGACCACAAAGACTTAATCTGGACTTGATTTGGCTAAGATTATACAAATTTTGGCATCATTGGTTTGTCTCGTCAAGCTGGTTGGTTTGACTGTAAGTTTGTTGAAATATGAGTTCTAGATGGTTTTTACATAGAGAAGTTTGAACATTTCCTGCTCAAAAATTACTTCGAGATTTGTGTCATGTCTCAAGATAAGTGTTAGATGATGGAAATTTGTTAAAGGTGCGTGAGTTTACAAGTTGAAATTTTATCAAAAACTATAAAATTATAGAAACACTCTCAGGATTGTTGATCTCCTAAAAAGTTACCACTATGTGACAATATTGTGAGGCCATTACATGAAATCCGACACTATAATTGATGGGCAAGAGTTATTTGTTACGCACCCCTCTCAACAGTACGAAACCAGAATGCCCTTTAACACATAATAAACAAATAATTATAATAATATAGTTAAATAATTAATATTTTTGAACTCCCCTCCTGGTCCATTGATGGAGTTAGAGCTGTTCCTGCCAGAAGCCATCCAGCGATCCCTCTCAATTTGAACAAATTAAATTTGAATTATGTTCGAATTTAATAAGAATCAAGTTCAACCGAATTGCTTTCAAGCTAAAGCTGCGATCTACACATGTAATTCTATCAAAATGGCTCGATTTACCAAACAAGCTTTGTCAATTACGAAATTTAAAACTCGTCTTTGATTTGAAATCATAAAACCTATCAAACTGTTATATTGAACTAAGCTCAAAATAAATCAAAAAAAATTTACATATAAAATGAACCAAATTTTGATGGGGATGACATCACCATGCCAAAGGATGGATCATGGATGGTAGGGCTGTCAAAACGGCTCGTTGTTCGCGAACAGCTCGTGTTCAGCTTGTTAATTTCGTTCGATAAGTTAACGAGCTGATCACGAAATAAGATGTGTTCGTTCGTGTTCGGCTCGTTTTGGCTCGAAATACTACTCATCAAGTTTATATATATATATATATTAAGTAGTATTTTAAAAAAATCTAATTAACTACAAGGCTACAAAGATTTATAATCAATCAAAATATTGATTAAGAAAATAGAATAAAAATTATTAAATTAGATTCAAATGATGTTTTAATATAAATAATAATTTTTAAATCTTGCTCAAACTCTTATTGT